ATATCATGGATTAAGTGACATATTTCAAAATATTCTTCTTTACTGGTGTAGACACCGCTAACGCGATTATAGTCGAGTTAACAACAAGCGCCAGCCGTTTCTTCTTTTCGCTATGTGGCGCCAATTGGATATTCCTAGCGAAGCCAGGTCCTGTTTATACTGGTTCCAAGATAAACGAAATGGGGGTCTCAGAGATCGCTCCATAAAGGCAGCTCTTTTGCATGCTGTCGAAAGCAACTTTGAAATCGACCAAAAGGTGGTGTGTGTGTCGATTCTCCTTTCACGGGTCTTTTCCAARATTTGRCGCATGGTGAATATCTGGTCGGTTGTTGATTTTCCAGGTCTGAAGCCACACTGATAAGGTCCAATCAGTTTGTTGACGGTGGGCTTTAATCTTTCACACAATACGCTCGATAGAACCTTATACGCGTTGTTCAGGAGGCTTATCCCACGGTAGTTGGCGCTCCCTTTTTGTGGATTGGGCAGAGCACACTTAAATTCCAATCATGGGCATGCTTTCGTCCGACCATATTTTACAAAGAAGCTCAGTTCTTCGCCGCCGTGTTTGAATAGCTCGCCCGGTAATCCATCGGGGCCGGCCGCTTTGTTTTTCTTCAGGCGGGTAACTACTATTCAAACTTCTTCATGGTCGGGCAATGGAACGTCTGCTCCATCGTCTGTTCAGCAGACTGGAAACGTGTTCCCTCCATAATTTTAGTATGTTTTGGGCATCGTTCACTAGATCACCTTTGGGCGTTCTACAAAAGTACGCTCCGGTCTTGAAACCTTCTGCCCCCGTCGGCCAGTTTGTCAAGCTTTTCATACTCACGCATTTCGGCCTCTTTCTTTTTCTGTCTGCAAGTGCGTCTCACTTACCTCTTCAACTCTCAGTATCTATTCCATCCCGCACGTGTTGTGGTCGATCGTAATGATGCGAGGTAGGTAGATATGCACTTGCGCTCCTTTAAGATAAGATAAGATAACATAATTGAGGAATGCACCGCGACCTTAGGTCTATTGTGCCCTCTCCTCACTCACAGGGACTCACTTAGCCACAGCATATTGATGAAGTCCAATATCCTGCTGGATGCTAACGAGGCGATGTGATCCCTTTCCAGATACATGGATCCAAGGGCCTTTGACCTGCGCCTACAGACTGCAACGCAGTCGATTAGCAGGTGCTCCGGGGGTTCAGGCTCCCTGTCGCAAAACCGACAGTTGGCGCAAGATGATAGGCCCATGTTAGATAAATGCCTTTTCAACTTGCAGTGGCCGGTGTAAAATGCGACCAGAAGCCTAAGTTTGTCCCTTGGGAGGTTTATTATCAATTTTAACCTCTTCTTTTTATACCCCCCAACTAGCAACTAGATGGAGTCATGTGTAGAACTTCACGCAAGTGAGGAAAGTTCTCTGATCGCCATTCACTTGGGAGTGGCCAGAAACGATTCTTTTACATATGATTCAAGCAGCTCACGACTTCTGGTCTTTGACCAAGTATCCTCTGGATAGCCTAAGAACATCCGTTTGAAGGYGAGCTAAAATGAGAAGGCGAAACATTCCCTGCATAGGGTTGTGCGCTGGGCTTGGAACCCGCCACGTAAAAAATCCAACCCAATGAAAACACAACAACAGCCTCAGATGAGAGACCCTACTTTTGATGACGACCATGTCAAACGAAATAATGAATTAATTGGGATGGTGCCGCTGCCCAGCTGGTTGATGTCCTCGTAAAAATAAAGGCTGACATGACCGCCGTGGAAAGAAATGCGATAGACGGGACAAGGACAGAGACGAGTAGGTCCTTGTGGCATTTACTACAGTGGCCATATAAAGGAGCTCAAGTTTGGTGTGGGATTCGTGGAGGGAGAGAGACTCCGTCGCCGRGTACTATCATTCACYCCGGTGAATGAACGTCTAGCCACAATCCGCATCAAAGCGAGGTTCTTCAACATATCGCTGATTTGCGCCCACGCCCCGACGGAAGAGAAGGACGATGTGACCAAAGATGAATTTTATGAGTGCTTGGAAAGCACTTATGAAGGTATCTTTGGCACATCCCCAACATGGGTTGAGGCTGATCGACTTCGCCGGGGCCCGAAATATGGTAGTATAGTATCTGTAGTACTAGATTCCAGCATACGAAAATACATCAAGCTACCTGGCTGTGTCCGGATCGAAAAACCACCAGCCAGACCGATCATGTTGTGATAGACGAAAGACACGTCTCCAGTGCTTTAGATGTGCGTGCGCTCCGAGGTCCTAACATCGACTCGGACCACTATCTTGTTGCAGCCAAGACTCGCACGCGCCTCTGTGTAGCAAAAAACGCACGCCTTCAAACACAAGGAAGGTTCGACGTCCAGAAGCTGCAATCACAATAGACAGTCGAACAATTTTCTACTCGGCTTGCACTCCTGCTCTCTGAGAGCACTCGTCAACAACTCGATATAAGGGAACTGTGGGACGGAATTTCAAACTCCTTACGTACAGCTACAACCGAAACCATTGGTTTTCAGAAAGTACAAAAGATCAGCTGGTACGACGAGGAGTGCCGTGTCGCGGCGGAGAGAAAACAGGCTGCCTACCTCGCAATGTTACGATCGACCACATCACGTGCGGTATGGGATAGATACCGAGAGTTGAAGAGGGAAGCGAGACGCATTTGCAGACAAAAAAAGAAAGMGGCCGAAATGCGTGAGTACGGAGAGCTTGATAAGCTGGCCGACAGGGGTAATGCTCGAAAATTCTACGGCTTACAGAAGGTTTCCAGACCGGAGCATACTCTTGTAGAACCCCCAAAGGTGATCTAGTCACCTATTCCCAGACGACGACGATGGAGCAGACGTTCCATTGCCCGACCAGGAAGAAGTTCGAATAGCAATTACCCGCATGAAGAACAACAAAACATAGGGGGCAGATTGATTACTGGGCGAGCTATTCAAACACGGCGGTGAAGATCTGATAAGGAGCATGCATCAGCTTCTTTGTAAGATATGGTCGGACGAAAGCATGCCCAACGATTGGAATTTAAATGTACTATGCCCAATCCTCAAAAAAAGAGACCCCACAATCTGCGCCAACTATCGTGGGATAAGCCTCCTCAATATCGCATATAAGGTTCTATCGAGCGTATTGTGTGAAAGATTAAAGCCCACCGTTAACAAACTGATCGGACCTTATCAGTGTGGCTTTAGACCTTGCAAATCWACAACCGACCAGATATTCATCATGCGCCAAATCTTGGAAAAGACCCGTGAAAGGAGAATCGACACTCACCACCTCTTCGTCGATTTCAAAGCTGCTTTCGACAGCACGAAAATGAGCTGCCTTTATGCCGCGATGTCTGMATTTGGTATCCTCGCAAAACTTATACGGCTGTGTAAGCCGACGTTGACCAGCACCAAAAGCTCCGTCAGAATCGGGAAGGATCGAGCCGTTCCATAGCAAACGAGGTTTCAGACAAGGCGATTCTGGAGAAAATAGGCCGAGCTGCAGAACTAAATAGAGAAGGTACCATCTTTTATAAGAGTATACAGCTGCTGGCGTATGATATCATCGGACTCAACAACCGCGCCGTTAGTTCTGCTTTCTCCACACTGGACAAGGAAGCAACACAAATGGGTCTGGCAGTGAACGAGGGCAAGACGAAATATCTCCTTTCATCAAATAAACAGTCGTCTCACTCGCGACTTGGCACTCACGTCACCGTTGACAGTCATAGCTTTGAAGTTGTAGATAATTTCGTCTATCTTGGAACCAGCGTAAACAC